ACAGTCAACTCACTGGACCATGTCATGCGGGGCATTTTTTTTTTTTTTTTTTTGCTTTTTTATTATAGAGAAATATCTATGCAGCCAAGCCAACCATATAAATATATACACCGAGTAAATTTGTTCCACTTTTATGCAAAAGTTTGCAAAGCGCACGAGAAGTAAAAACTAAAATAAACATATAGGAGTCATGTATGATAATTTCAAAAACGTTGATGGAAGAATTTGAAGTCAAGCCGTTTGACGTTTGTTTTTGTCTTACCGATCTCCTCATGGTGTGATTTTTCACAGATTCTTTTTCACTCCATGGAATATTTTCCGAAAATGCTAATTCTACTATTTCAGACGTGGCATTTATTTGTGCTTTCATGATATTATTTTAAGAGTATGTGTTGACATGAAAAAGTCCATTCCGGTAGGAATATGTGCGCCCAAAACGAGGGAAAATGTCTGCATTCATGCCACGAAGTTAGCACTCTGACCATCAAGACAACCTCCTTCAAATGTGGTGCACATAAGTTAAAAGCGAGAGGGATATATATACACCAACGACGATATAAGAGAAAAGAAGTGATTGTTTACATACAATAGGAGTTTACTATGTTCTCATTTCATGGATATATTTTGTTATTAGATTTAGAGATTAAGTTATATGCTTAGATCCCCTAAGGACTTTTTGGACAAATAACAACTTATCTCGATAAAAAGACATTCCACCGTCAGTGCTCGTCGCTTTCCCAGGTCGCTCGCTCTAACTTGTTTTTTCTCATTCGTCTAGTTTACTAAGTCGATTCACAATATTCGCTTCGGGATTGGCCACATGAAAATTGTGTCTGATTTTGACTATACCATTATAGATCATTCTTATTAATTATATTTTGCTTCAAGGTCCAATTCCATCGAGCTTTTACTTGTCTTGAGCTTTGCAGAATATGTCGGGATCAATGCCATAGGAAACCAATAAATTATTTTCGGTTGATTTTTCTATATATCCAATTTGAAACAAGTTTTTCGTTATTTTTTCGAAATTCTTTTGGAACGAGAATATTGCAATTAATTTTTAACCTCAAATTTAGCCAAAAATGTAAATATGAATTGATCCTTTTGATTTCCACCGTTAAAAACTTTGGTGGCCAAAATAAGACAATTGTGCCCCTTACAACGCCTGTGCAAAATTTTAGAAAATGATGTTGAAAACCTAGTTTCTTGATGAAGAGACATCGTAATTGACTTACATTATAAACCAATGTATAACTTCATTGGTCAACTGTAATAATAACCTGAGAACGGTAGACAAAATATTTAATATTGAAAAATAAATAAATAAAAAAGAGCCTATATATATGTAACTATGTAAGTATGTAACACTTGGCTGGCAATGATAGCACACTATGGAAAACAAACACGTCTTCTTTTCTCAAGTTTTGTCCATATATATTCCTCCCTTTCAATGTAATTTTGCTAGCTGTAAAGCAAAATAATTATTATTTAAAAATTTAATTATTTGCAATTAAATGAATATATATTTATAAAAATTATAAACATATAGGTTTCGAGGCAGATCATGAAGGAACTAGGGGAGGCCGCCGCTGCAACAACAACAACAATAAAATAATAATAATAATAATAATAATAATAATAATAATAATAATAATAATAATAATAATAATAATAATAATAATAATAATAATAATAATAATAATAATAATAATAATAATAATAATAATAATAATAATAATAATAATAATAATAATAATAATAATAATAATAATAATAATAATAATAATTATTATTATTATTATTATTATTATTATTATTATTATTATTTAGTCATTGTTTTGTTATTGTTGTTGTGAACAATAATGCTCACCTTATATTTAAATTGGATAATTCAGTCACTTGATGAGTTGAGAAACTAAAATATTAAAAGTTATTTCAATTTAGTATCGTTTCGACTTCGAATATTATTTTATCATTGTTTAGTCTAATTTTGGCATAATTTAAAAAAATGGAAATCACATGCCTTTGAATTTAGCTTTATAATTTAACTGAAATTAATAAGATTGGTTGTCGGGTTTAGGTATTGTAAAGTTGTGCATGTACGAGTTTCCATTTTATCTTTAGATCAATAACTCATAAGCGTCAAAGTTGTGGGCAATAAATATTTATTGATTCATCTATATCCATTTCACCCGACATGCAATCTTAGTGATTGAATTTAGTTTATGAAGCTGACTCAAAGAACTACAAGTTACGTGCCTTGAATTTTACCAAACATAACCTCTGAAATGGCAAAAAATCGAGCACGAAGTCGAAAACGCGTTATCAAATTTAAAACGATATTCGTCACATACCATTGAGAAATCAATAAGACTTCATTGTATTAATAAATTTAGAATTATGAATTGCAAATGACCTAATAAAAAAATTAAAAATGAAAAAAGAAAAAATAAAAAGAAGACGTGTTGATAAACACATATAATTCCAAATCAACCTACATATTAAATTCCCAAAGGAATATGCATAACTTCCAATCTATTCAAGCAAATTAGATCTATGAACCACTCCAAAACGAATTGAAAAAAAAAAATCAAAATTCTCTAATTTAATTAGTTAATTTATTTTTTATTTTTTATCTGGAGTTTAATACCACATTGCATGTACCAACTTTAAAAAAATCATGTCTAATTACGACAATTAGGACCCACATTCATTTCGGTGGCCTAATAAAAGTTAAAACATAAAAGGTAGTATGAACATGATATTAACAAATGAATGAGAAGTCTATATTTTCGACAAGTATAAATTAGTATATAGATCTAACTTTGGTATAAATTAGTCGGATTGTTTTATTCGCTTTTAATTTACATATAATTATACATTTACCGTATATATATGAATTTATACACGTGTATTATTAAATATAGAGGTTGATCGAAGTTCTTTAATGCATGTTAATTTGAGTTTTAATGTTAATTTATTTATTTTTTTAGTGAAGATATTTTTTTACTATAGCAGTCAAATCTTTTTACTATATCAGTCAAATCATATATAGGTGGTGTTTGCAAAAGTTTTTTGAAAGTGATTATGAGCTTTTTTTTGCTGATAATTTGTTTTCAGGTGTTTGCAAAATCAAGTTTTGTTTTTGCTTCTCTTAAAATAATCTGTTTTAAGCTATTTTTTTAAAAACACCCTTAACCCTGCTTTTTCTATTTAAGTTCATTTTCCGGAATAACTGCAAACACCCCCAACTTTTAAAAATAAACACTTAAAACTGGTTTAACTCACAATCACTAACTTCTGCTTTTAAATAATCATTTGCACACACCAGCATAGAGAAGAAAGAAACTCTAGAAGTTAATTTGTGATTTTTTTTTTTTAAATGTTAAACAAATACATATTCGTTTATGAGGAAGAATAAAATTGAAACAAAAACAGAACCAAACCTATGTTATTTTGGAAATAATTTTTCATTTCGTTTTTCTAACCACCCTTTTCTTTTGTATATTGTAATATCTTGAATTTTTATTTTTTGGGCAGGATTTTAAGTCAAAAGCTTTGGACTATACTCATTGTATGGTAGGAAGGTAGCTAGTAGCTGTAAAGTGTGGTATTGTATCTTTAATAAATATATTTTTGCTTATCTCATTTGAAATTTATTCAAGATTAATTGGAAGTAGATAGATAGTTGAGATCAAATTAATTTAAAAAAAAAATGCAAGCTTATTATATACTCCTTTCGTGTAATTTACTTGTTTATTTAGTACAACAAATGTTCGGTACTAATTTGTCTTATAAGTTATATCAAAATATAACTTGTATAACGATTTTTTAAAATTTACATACTTAAACGTAAATGACCAATAAAAACGAAAATGGATCGAGGAAGTAATTACTTGCGATTATAAGCTTATTACATAGTTTACATAGTTAGGGTAAATTGCAAAATGCTTGACGTTTGATTTACTTACACAGAATTTAGATAGAAATTAACAGTTTCGAAAAAATTCTATCTTTTTTTTTTTTAAATGAAAAACTAATTCCTGTTTTCATTTTGAATAAATTCGAAAAACTCAGAAATTGGAGTAGAAAAACTATGATATAAAATACATAATAATATCGACACTGTAAGTGTAATTTTTACGAAAAAATTGGAATTTTGTCGTAAGTTTAATCTAAATTTTATATGCATTCCAATTTCATTAAGAAAAAAAAAATTCAAACAAAATAGAAACTTTTGGAATTCGAAATGAAAAATATTTTACCAACATTAGCAATATTATAACCGAAGTATGCCGAATTCAAAAGTTCCATTTCAATTTTCACCCAGGTACTTGAGGGCCGGTTGATACAATTTTAGAATTTACACAATTTGTTTTTTTTTTTTTTTTTTAATACATCTAATATTATACATTTGTTGTAGTTGTCAAGAAATTGATCTAAAAGTGTCAATTTTTTATATGAATATTTTATTATAAGAAATTAAAAGAAAACGAGTGAAAAAAGGTGGGAATATGTAAATTTCAAAAAGAAAAGATGGTCTTAAAAAAAGGGTAAATTACAACCATCCCTCTGACGTATGGTGAAATTACGAAAAAATCCCTCATATTTAGATAATTACATCTACCCCTCAACTATGAATCTTCTTACATCTCCATCCTTATGGTGTCAAATTCGACATAATCATCTACATTTCCGTGGAATGTTCTCTAGTTTGTACTCGTTTTGTGCAAAAATACAGTTTCTGATGCACCACAATCCGATATACACAAATCAGAAAACACATCTTATGATCATCTAACTTCAAAATGTGGAGCTCGAATGGGATAAAACGGCTTTAAAATCGAGAATATTCTTTTAATCTAGAAGATTCACTAAATTTGAACCGCAAAGTGAACGTGTAAGAAAATTTATAATTGATGGGTGACTGTAAGGAGGGGGTTTTCGTAATTTGACCATACATCGGGGATTGGTTGTAATTTAAACCCAAAAAAAAAAATGGCCAACCTATATTTATGTAGTAGCTTAAACAGCACTATATTGTAGAAGCTATTAGTAAAAGTAGTAGCTAACTGGTGATTATTAGATACAACCACTCAATTATAACCATACTTGGAAACCGCGTTTCTCTCTCTCTCTCTCTCTACCCCCCTCTCTCTCTCTACAATTTCAAACCCCATATAAATATCAGCATAGTACATATCAGTCTCTCTTCACTCTTCACCACTCTCACTCCTCGTTTCTCTCTCTAGACTCTCTCTCTCTCTCATGAAAATGGCTTCCTGCAAATCTCTCTCTCTCCTCTTCTTCTTTCTCAGTTCTTTCCACCTCAGTATTCAAGACAACACCGTTTCTTTGTCTTTTCCTCTTACCTCAGCCCCTCTGTCGGAAACCTCCGCTTTTAAAGCAAAGCTCCTCTCTTCTCCAAACAAGAACGCCGCCGCCGCCGCCGCCGCGTCGTCGCCGCCGCTCGGTTACGACTACCGGTCGTCGTTCAAGTATTCGATGGCCCTGATTGTTTCTCTACCAATCGGTACGCCGCCGCAGACGCAGCAGATGGTCTTGGACACCGGCAGCCAGCTGTCGTGGATTCAGTGCCACCGGAAAACACCGGTTGTACGGAAGCCGCCTCCGACGACGTCGTTCGACCCCTCTCTCTCCTCTTCCTTCTCCGTTCTCCCCTGCAACCACCCCTTATGCAAGCCGCGAATTCCCGACTTTACCCTCCCCACCACGTGCGACCAGAACCGCCTCTGCCACTACTCCTACTTCTACGCCGACGGTACCCTCGCCGAGGGCAATCTCGTCAGAGAAAAGTTCACTTTCTCAAATTCCCAAAGTACCCCTCCTCTTATCCTCGGATGCGCTGCGGACTCGAACGACGCCGAGGGTATTTTGGGCATGAATCTTGGCCGGCTGTCGTTCATTTCCCAAGCTAAAGTGCCAAGGTTTTCATACTGCGTGCCCCTCAGACGCCAGGGGCGCGTCGCCCAAAACATTAATAATAATAAAAATAATAATAATATTAATCCCACGGGCGCATTTTACATAGGCCACAACCCAAATTCTGGTACATTCCACTACATCAGTATTTTGACTTTCCCCAAAAGTCAACGCGCCCCCAATTTCGACCCCCACGCCTACACCGTCGGATTGTTGGGCATCAGAATCGGCGGGAAGAAGCTCAACATCTCCGCCGCGGTTTTCCGGCCGGACGCCGGCGGTTCCGGCCAGACGATGATAGATTCCGGCACGCAGTACACTTTCCTGGTGGACGCCGCCTACGCGAAGGTGAGGGAAGAGGTGGCGCGGCTCGCCGGACCGAAGCTGAAGAAGGGGTTCGTCTACGGCGGCGCGTTGGACATGTGCTTCGACGGCGGCGATGAGGCCGAAATCGGACGGCTGATAGGCGACGTCGTTTTTGAGTTCGAGAGGGGTGTGGAGATACTGACCAATAAGGAGAGGGTTTTGGATGACGTGGGAGGAGGGATCCGCTGCTTCGCAATCGGACGGTCGGAATCGCTCGGCGTTGCTAGTAATATTATTGGTAATTTCCACCAGCAAAATCATTGGGTGGAGTTCGATGTGGCCAATCGGCGAATTGGCTTCGGTGTGGCCGACTGTAGCAGATCTTTGTGACTTTTCTTCTTTGAAAATATATCTAGTTCATAGTTGTACATGGTGTAGCAAAAATTGATAAAATTAAAAAAACAAATAATTTGTTGGATTTTGTACGCATGTTTAATCTTTTTGGTAACTAGAGAATTTTTTTTCATCCAATGTTTATCTTTACATGAAGAAATAAAATTGCATAAACAAGATTAATTTTTTATTTGACTAAATTACACAAAAAACATATGATTTCTCATCTTTTTAATCATGTATATTAGGTTATATATGCTAATTGTAGATCTTATATCGGATGAAATACACTTGATAGTTTTGCATCCGCATATAAACACAATTATACATATGTACATATAAAAATAACTATAGAACTACACTAATAATAGAATATAACTCGACAAAGTTCACTGAATGTGATATAAAACATACCGTATAATAGGATAATAACCAATAATTGGCAAAATCTCCCATCAACAATGTAAGGCCACGAGATGGGGCCTTAGGGGCGAGAAATTTTGTCCTATATGATACAACAATTGGCAATTCTAACTCATAAATTAAGTACCATGATCAAATTAAATACTAAAATTATCATGTCCATTTACATTATTTTTTTCGAATATATATTATTTTTGAAAATCAGACATTTCAATGAACTGAATATTAAAGATGTTATACCTAGTGAAATATAACGAAATAGTTTAAATCATTGGTCTATACACTATCCCTCGTACATACATGTGTACATGTGTGTAAATGAAATGGGTAGATGACAATAATACATGTGCATGATAACATCTTACCCACTGAAATTGATCGTTTGTAGCATCAAATTAAATAAACTTCAATTAACCTAACATTTAAATTCAAAATTTATTTAAATATTGAATACTTAAAATGAATCGCCGGTAGAATAGTAGATGACAAAGGACATTTGTCTATTTATTGTGAAATAATTTTTTTATAGGTAAGTAGGTTTCACAAGAATCTAACAAGTGTCATGCTTGTTTGCGGGGAAGTTCAAATGGTTGTTTTGTATTTGTCTCGCCTTATATATATATTATATGATAATAATGTTGTAGTTGGATAATGGAATCTTATAAAGTTTGGTACATGTAAATCAATTTAAGGAAATTGGGTGAATTTAATTATAAAAAAGGGAAAAAGGGCACTTGGGATAATCACATGAAAATAGAAATAAAAAGTAAAAATCCAAGAATGGGAGTGGGCTCCACCACTCTCTTGTACGCTTCTTGCTTGCAACGTGGAAGACAAGAATACGTTCCTATGTAAAATCCCGGCACCATGTTAGTTTATCAGGAAACTAGTATATGTAGGACTAGGCATGGGTCGGATCGGGTATATTCGGCATATTACAAATTTGATCTGATCATCTGATTTTGCTGAATATTGAAAGGGGAAATGAGGGATATCTCGTAGTTTTGAAATATATAGGGATAAATTATGTGGATTTTTCTTTTCTAGTCAAAAACTCAAATTCTAATCTTAATTTGATAGACCCCCTAGATAAATTGAAATACTCATTGCTCTTTTAGTTACAATTTAAAACCCTAACCCTCTTAACAACTCTCGTTATTTTCGCTCTCCCTCCTCCCACGTTTTCTCTCGTCTCTCTCAAAACTTTCGTTTTCTTCTCTCTCTCTCACCTTCCACCGCCGCTGCTCCGCCTTCTCCACTGCTCCGCCGTGCTCCGCTGCTCCGCACCGGCTGTTCCGCTGCTTCGCCACCCCCTTGTGCCTCTGCTCCGGCAAAGCCTTGCGGCGCTACTCCGCCACGTCCTTGAGCCGGCCGTCGTTGCTCCTCCCACCGCCTTGAAATCGGTACTAAATCATTCACTTTACATTTTTAAGTTATTTTTTTAATTTATGAATGACCATCCATTTTTAATTTATTTTTTTAAGATCTGAATTCTTATCACTATTTCACCTTTTTATTGTTTTTTTTATGAAAACCAACTGAATTCGAAAATTTTAAATTGTGATCCGACGATGTGTAGTCAGATGTAATGGTGAATTTCATATCTGGAACCGGTGGTGTTTGATTTGTATATATTTACTGCATTTATATATATATATATAAACCAGATCTACTATGTTTTTGAAGACCTGTGAACAATTAATATTAAAATATTTTTCTTTGGATTAATTTGATTTTTTATTATAAATCATATGTAATTTATTTTTTGTATTTATTTGAAAATGATTCGAAATGCCTCAAGTGTGAGAGCTTTGTTTGCCTGTAGTAGAAATTTAACCAGTAATGGTTACTTACATGGGTGATTTGAGTCAGGTGAATATACAATTATATTTAGTCATATACAGTGTAGTCATGTATAGTCATGGCTACATATTATACATGACTATAGGACTTGTAGTATACTGTAGTCATTTGTAGTCGATTTCAGTTCAGTAAATTTATCAACAAAAAAAAAATCATGTTTTTAGGTATTTTTCATGTAATGTAACTCGCATGTTCCATTTTGCTATTTAACTCGTATTTTTTTGTCGCATGTTTTGCTTTTGTTATAATTTTATGACATGCATAGAATAAGATTCGATGAAGTGCCTTTGTAAAGTTGGATTCATGCTACAGTAGTCTAGACTTTATGTCACTATATACAACTACAAATAATTGTAAATAACTATAGTCACTTGTAGTAACATACAGTTATATGTATGCTATAGGTTTTCAATGTACAGTAATACTTGTTCATGTTTGAAGAATATATGCATGTGATTGTATTTTTTTCATTTTTTGTTTGTTAGTTGATTTATAATATCAAGATAAATTGTGAATTTTTTTTGTTGGTGTATATGAACTTTGGGGTAAAAAGACAATACATGACTACATATAACTGTACATGACTATTGAACTTGTAGTACACTTTAGTCATGTGTAGTATACTTTCAGTTCACTAATTTCACCCAAATTTCCATTAATAAAAAAAAATAAAAAATAAAAAAAATAAAAAAAAATTAATTAAGAAAAAAGCATTTCATAAAAAATACAATAATAATAATAAAGGTACAAAATATATATAGGATTAAAAAAATTATTATATTAAAAATTATGATATATGCAGTACAAAAATACTAAATGCAAGTCCAAAATGATAAGTGCAGTTAGTGAAAATGTTGAATGCAGTTGTGCGAAAATTGCAAATAAGGACACAATAGTACTTTTGCCTCTCGAGGAGTATCTCGAAGGAAGATTTTTAGGGGTGAACCTATTCATATATATTTTCCATACAAGGGGTGTATATCAAATCGACCCATATTGAAATTTAGTATCGGCCCAACTTATAGGTCGGATAATGGTTTGACATTTGACAACTAACTTATTGGGATAAACAATGCGCTGGCTGAAATTAATGGTCTAAAATGTTGATGGATTAAACAACGATTATTTTTGAAGAATATAAATACAGTAATTCAAAATATAAAAGATAAAATTTGAGCTTGATAAATATATACACTAATTCTCCTCGTAAGTTTTTTTTTTTTTTATCCAATCCCAAATTATAGCTTATGAGATTCGAAATGTGATTTTAAACCGTAGAAGACAGATCTATATAAATAACAACTCACTAGGAGCAACTCCAGCAGTTGTGCTAAAAGTTATCAATTCTTATCAAATTATACACAGTGAACAGTGTTTTAATACACAACTTTTTCTGATTCACTCTAGTTGTGGTTGTTTATATTTTGACACATCACTTTAAAGCATCACTTTTAAGTTTTAACATCACTACTCAATCCAATATATTTTTGAATACATAATTTTACATTTTATTATTATATTTTATATATTCGATGATATTATAAAAAATATATTTAAAATAATAATAATTTCAATTTCAATTAAATAATTATATTTTAAGTGTTTTATTTTCTGGAAAAAAAATTGTGAATTTAGAGTTGAGAACTTGTGCAATTAAACTATGATTTGATTTTGTGACAAAAATGATTTTGCCATTTCATTCTTGGTGTTTCATATTTGACAAGGCAAATTTATAATATATCATGTGGTGTATAATATACCAATGCTGCTAGAGCACTAATTTTCTACAAAAGTTGCAAAGTTTGCTAAAGTTTAGCATTTATCACATCTGCTGGAGTTGCTCTAAGCACACATACATATGGACGTGCGTTATTATGCGTGGTATAAAATTACATGGTGTATTTCACGAGGTGTAGATTCTATAAGATTCCATATAATCTCAGTTAGGACGAGTTATTTTTCGTTATCCACGATGACTAATTTATCGTGGTCTTCCTCGATTAAATAAAAAAAAAAATACAAACTCCTTGCAATGAGGAAAATTTTCATCAAACTCTGATTTCGATACAATTACAATCTGGTGAGTTTTTCGTGGTCGAACTTTTTGACCAGTCGAGCTCGAGCTTTTTTTTATTGTCCGCGAACTCACAAGTCGGCTCGCGAGCCTTCTTTTTATTTAACTTTTATATATATTATATTTTATTATAAAAAATAATAACATAAATGTTATAATAATTAATAATAATAATATAAAAAGAACAGTTAAACAAAATATAAAAAAAAAAAAACAAAAACAAAATAAGCTTGGGCTCGAACTCGTCAAAATTGGTTCGAATTAGAGCTCGAGCCAAAAAAAATACCCGATGAACTTGATCTCGAGCTCGACAAAATGGACTCGAGCCTGCCAAAACAGCTAAGCTCGACTAGTTTACATCCCTAATTCAATTGATGATAGTAATTTCGTCCTTAACAACAACCCCATATAAATAGTGTTTTTTCTTTTATGAAATAGTTTACTCTTAAATAATTGAATCAATAGGGGAGTTTGTCCTTATTATATTAATAACATATAAATTTCTCAGTAACAACTAAAATAAACACGGAAATACTGAATACATCAATAAATCAAAAAGAAAAAAATATAGAATGGTCCAAAATGAGGTAAAAACGAAAGAGGTAAAAGCAAACAAAAAATTAAAGCAATAGCCAATCCAATGGTGGAAGGCACTAAATTAAAGATTTTGGATTATGTAACCCGTGCGTGAACTCTATTCAAATTTCAAATTATTAATCAGCTTTTCTTTTTAGTCGGCAGAGTGACTACTCACTGCTTCAAAATTCTGCCAAACCTTATTTTAGCGTGCCCTCAAAAAAGTTGGTGTTATAATCATTTATTTGTCAAAAATCCACTTAATTTCTATTTATATTATAATTAGGAATAAATTACAACCACCCCTGAGGTATGGTCAAATTACGAAAACCCCACTCTTGTTTGGATAATTACAACCACCCCTCAACTCCTCAAATTTATTGCAATCTTCGAGATTATATGGAATATTATCACTTTTGTACCCGTTTTATCTCATTCGAACTCTACATTTTGAAGCAAGATGATCATAATATGTGTTTTTTGGCTTGTATATATCAGATCGTGGTGCATCTGAAACTGTAGTTTTACACAAACGAGTACAAACTAGAGCACATTTCAGGAAATCTAGATGATCATGTTGAATTTGACACCATAAGGGTGGAGGAGTAAGACAAAAAACATAGTTGAGGGGTAGATGTAATTATCCAAACAAGAGGGGTTTTTTAGTAAATTGACCATACCTCAGGGGTGTTTGTGATTTACCCTATAATTAATTGTTACATTCTTCATGAATAATAGCTTGTTTAATGATTAATCTATTAACATTTTGGAGCAAATATAATCTACCATTAATTCATTAAGGACCAAATATATCAAATTTGCTATAAACTATATTAAAGTATCTCCGAATAGGGGACTGGTTATATTCGGTTTGTTCTATGTTGTACCCTGTGAATTTTATCGGATTATATACTACCATACATATTTATTAGTTTTTATTTGTAAATCAAAGGTGGGAAATTTCACACATATACTCATGTATGATGAAATCACATGTGATGAAGTTCACCAGGTGTAGGTTCGGGCCGTCTTTGTAATTAATTCAATTCATATTTCCTTTTCTAAATTTTATTGTTATAATATAGGCTAATTACAATAACAAAAAATAATAATATAAAAAATAAAATGAGCTTGAGCTCGATAAAATCGCCAAGCTCGGGTGGTTTATATATTCTACGATGTCGGCAATGCATTTTGTTGTGAAGAGAAAAAAAGAGAATATGACAATGAAATAAAACTGGTAATATGTGAAGTGTGAACATAAACCAAAATAATTAGGTTTAAATCGCTTTCAAATTCAATTTCATTTAAAAATCCAAATGATTAAATAGACCGAAATAATTTGAAAAATAAAATCTAAAATTGTTTTTCAAAATTATTATATATGACGTGTCACTCAAAGCATTTTTTTTTTCTTTATCGGGTTACTGTTTCCTTGCATGCAGGAATAAAAATGATCCCCATGCATGCATGCTATGCACTTGTCAGTATCCAAATAATAGTCCTCTAGTTTATCAAAAAAAAAAAAGAAACAAACAAATAATAGTCCTCTGTCATTTAATTAAAAAGATTTCTCCTCTGCAGTTTAATAGATACGTGCGTTATTGTAGATATTCATATTAAATAATGCATTTTATTAACAACTCTGGCTCTGGGTATAATATCACAATTTTCAAGTGTTCACTATTATTACGTGTTACAATACGTGCATTTGCGTATGTGACCGACATAAATCATTCGTTGGCGTTAGGGATGTGAACGAGCCGAATGCCTGTTTTGGCAAGCTCGAGCTTGAGCTCGTCGAATTTTTTTTTTTTACTCGAGCTCCAGCCAATTTTGTCGAGCTCGAGCCCAAGCTCATTTTGAGTTTTTTTTTTTTTTTTTTTATTAAATTTTATTATTAAAAAATATTTCGATTATAATAAAACAAAATCAAAATAAACAATAAAATGTGATTACATATATTTTTGAATATTTATTTGTTTTTTTTATATTATTTCTATAATATTTTATATTATTATACATTATTTAAATAAAAAATAATATTAAAAAAAAAAGGCTTGATAGCCGTCGCGTGAGCTCATGAACAACTAAAAAAACGCTCGAGTTCGACTCATCAAAAATCTCGAGCTCGAAAACCTCCTCCAGCCAACTGGTACTAACTCAATACCGATTGTCCGTCTATCAAAATTCCAGGAAATGCGAGTAACGAAGGAATCATTCATGAAGACAATGGCTGTTCTTTTTCAAAAATATCGGATATACGACAAACAATCTTGTTCGAACATGAAGGAAACACCTCTCACCAGCCACCAAACATTCCTCGGTCACAACTCGCAAGAGTCGGGAGATTTTTCTTTTATTACGCGACTGTAAACCGTAAATTTTTCGAATCTGTAAAACATAAATACAAGACAAGAAAAATATAGGAAACAAATAAATTTATTATCAAACGAAAACGGATTACAATCTCCGTAATTCCCCTGATTCTTCTCTCCTATTCTAGATTTGATTCAAGGGCTTAAAAGCTTGTTCTTGAATCGAACGAATGATTTCCTTTCACGAACATCTCGAATTTAAATATGTTATGAATTCGAGGAATCGAATATATATGATTTCCTATCACGAACACCACGAATTCAAATATATTATGAATTCGAGGCGGAGGCTCGAGACGTGAGCTTGAGAGCTCGATATGTGTATGTGTGAGTCTCATTTTTAGATGCACCAAAGATCTTCTTTTATAGGCACAGAGCTAGGGTTAGGGTTTCTCGACTTGCAGAGTGGGCCGGACATTCTAAAACCCAAATATGTTATGGACTTTAATTTGAGACCTAAATTAATAACCGATTTATTTTGGTTATTAATTAGTAATTTATCTCAAAATTTCGATGTCTACAGCGACTACGAGATTTGATTTACATTTTCTGAAAATAAAATATATCGAGTACGCAACGATCAAAACTTGGTTTCCAAATCATCTCCGCTGCAGCACATCGACCGATTCTTTCTCTTAAAAAAATATATATATTGAAATTCACCAAACTTCTATATATCAATCAATCATAACACCAAAAGCCAATTCTCATATTACATAAATCACAAATGTGTAACCAAACATCAAGAACCATTCACAAGTGGTTAAATATTAGCTTCAAAAGTTTCATTTTATTTTTTCTTGTTCTCAAATTACATCAAACCTTGGATCGACACCTCGAGGCTTTACTCAAGCCACCAATCACCGAATTATACGACGCGTAATCAAGAACAAGCCCTTTCGCACCACGCAAGTTCGAAACATCGTCCGGGTTCCCGTACTTACAATGCCCTTCCAATAAAATATTATACGTGACATCATCGGGCACAACCCCAAGATTCATCATCGCAATTAGTAGAACATTCGCGTTTTTCAATTGCCCTTGTTTGCAATAACCGTTCATAAGCACATTGTAAGTCACAACACTCGGCTTACGCCCATCACTCTGCATCTCACGGAGCATCTTCGAAGCCGTCTTCACATCTCCCTTCTTACAAAACCCGTTAATAATCATTGTATACGTTTCGTCGTCGGCCTTAAAACCGAGCCTCGACATTTCCCTCAACATTTTCTCGGCCTCAACTTCTCGCCCTTCTTTACACAAACCGGATATAAGTGCCGTGTACGCCACATCATCAAGTGGAATTCTTTGCTTAATCATTGTTTCTCTAACCTTAAATGCAGACTCGAGATCTCCTTCCTTACAACACCCGTCGATAAGGGTAGTGTACGTAATTTTATCAGGTTTCAATCCCTTTAAACTCATCTCACCAATAAGATCTTGCGCTTGCTTTAAATCTCCGTTCTTGCAAAGCCCGTTAATAATAGCATTGTATGTGACAAGATCGGGGGATAATCCCTTCGACAACATTTGATCGTAAATCTCCATAGCCAAATCTACCCTCCCGTTTTTGCAGTGTCCGTCAATCAACGTAGTATAGGTAACATCATTAGGAGCCAACCCATTCTCAAGCATTTCGTCGAACAACTCATGTGCACTATCCATTCTCCTCTCCTTACAAAGCCCGTTTATTAGAACGCTATAAGTATAAACATCGGGTCGAATTCCACTCGCCTCCATATCACTCTTGAGCCGAAACCCTTCATCGATATCGCCCACCCTAATATAACCATTCATCAAAGTATTGAAACTAACAGCACTAGGACTCAAACCCCATTTCCGAATTCCATTAAAAACCGACAAAGCTAACACCATTTCACCTCCTTTGCAGAATCGGTGCATCAAATTGTTGAAAAAATACAAACTTGGTGGATACCCACATCCCAAAATCTCCTTATAGAAACCCCAAACCAAATTAAAAGACCTCAAATTCATCAAATGATCAAGCACCTTTTTACACGTATCGAACGGGACCCGAAAATCGTGTTTTTTACATAATCGAAAGCATTGAATAGCATCGGGGACAAAACCCAACTCTAAATAAGCAGTGATTAATCCAGAGAATACGTAAATATCGGATCTTTGGGTACCTTTGGTTTCAAGAATTGCAGCGAAAACATCGGGAGCAGAATCTTTACCTTTTCTTGAAACTACGATTTGGATTAGACTTTTGGCTTCAACGAGGAGTTGGTGGGTGCAGAGAAAGTGGATCATGGTGCAGTAAGAATGGAGGGTGTGGCGGAAAGCGGCGGAGTTGGTGGGAGAAGAGAGCCATGTGAAGAAAGAGAAGAGAGAGAGAGGAGAGAGAGAGTTAGGGTTTAGAGTGATGAGGTTTGTGATGTGTTGGGGTTTCAGACGAGGGAGGAGGTTCTTGAGGGAGGATTGGAGGGGTTTTGATGGAGAGTTTTGGATGGCTTGAGATAGGGCGGTGGTGATGGGGTCTGGTTCTTGAAACGGCGGCGGAGTGTACCAGGCGGCGGCGGCGGCGGCGGCGGCGGCGGCGGTGGTGGTGGTGTAGAGGTGGTGGAGTGGTGGAGGAAGGAGGAGGTGGGTTGATGATGGTGTTCTTGAAATGTTGTTTATGGCCATGTGGAAGTTTGGGCTTCGGTTTCTTTTGAATTGAGTTTATAAACTTTGGTTTCTAATTGGGGACATATTGAATTGGCCCACTCTGTAAAATTGATATTGGGATAATACAAAAGGCCCAAGGATGGATCAAGTTATATGATGCGGCTTGAGGGCGTAATGAGTCAGTTAGACAAAAGCTTGAGCTCGTACTCACGATTTTTGCACTCGAGCTCGAGCTTCCTGATGAGTTTTGAAATCGAGTCATTTTTAGTTGTTTAGGAGCATGAGCCAGCTAGCGAGATTTTCTATATTTTTTTGGGTAAATTACAACTACCCTCTGAGGTATGGTCAAATTTCGAAAACCCCTCCTGTTTGGTTAATTACAACCATCCTTCAACTATAAATCTTCTTACACGTCCACCCTTACGGTTTCAAATTTAGTGAAATCTTCTGGATTATATAGAAAATTATCACTTTTGTACCCCTTTCATCCCATTGGAACTCTGCATTTTGAAGCACGATCATAAGGTCTGTTTTTTGGCTTGTGCATATCAGATTGTGGTGCATTAAAAACTGTATTTTTACACAAAACGAGTACAAACTAGAGCACATTTCACGGAGTCTAGATGATTATGTTGAATTAAACACCATAATGGTAGAGCTGTAAGAAGATTTATAGTTGAAGGGTAAATATAATTATCCAAAGAAGAGGTGGTTTCGTAATTTGACTATACCTCAGTGGGTGATTGTAATTTACCTAATTTGTTTTATTAATAATAATAATAATAATAATAATAATAATAATAATAATAATAATAATAATAATAATAATAATAATAATAATAATAATAATAATAATAATAATAATAAAAATAATAATAAATAATAATAATAATAATAATAATAATAATAATAATAATAATAATAATAATAATAAATACGTTAAATTAAATATATATTTTTTGTTCCTTTTTTTATTTTGTAACTTTTTATTATATTATAAATAATTTATAACAATAAAAAAGAATAAAAAAATATAGAATAAGCTGAGCTCGAACTCAAAACATATGGTGAAATCTGATTATAAGTTGTTAAAAAATGGTGTAATAAGATGTTTAATTATAAATTCTTTCAAACTGTTCGCTAAACTTTTTAAAAAAGATCTTAAAAATTCAAAAAATAAGTTGTTGGAGAGCTTTACGATGTCCGATGTTACAATGCGTAAAAGTAGTTTAACAAAATCAAATCATACACTTTAAAAATTAATTCTATACATAAGACATAACACTCAGCTTTTAAAACTGCTTATCGGACATAAGAACTTATCAGTTGTACTGTTTAAAATAAGTTTAGCCAAATAGATTTTGAATTAACAATCTGTGACGAGTTCAACCTAAAAAGTATTGAGAAGAAAGTTTGAACTTTGGTCAAATAACATGGTACTTTTTTGCTCCACACCAACTAAGGTGGTGTTTGAAAAAGTTTTTTGAAAGTGATTATCAACTTTTTTATGCTCATAATATGTTTCCAGGTGTTTGCAAAATTAACTTTTGCTTTTGCTTCTCTTAAAATAATATGCTTTAAACTATTTTTGTAAAAGCACCCATAGCCCTACTTTTTCTATTTAAGTTCATTTTCCGGAATAATTGCAAACACCCCCAACTTTTAGAAATAAACACTTAAAACTGGCTTAACTTCTGTTTTTAAATAATCATTTGCAAACACCACCTCAATCGACCCATACTTGACAACTATACTTATAATTATTGACTAATGTTTGAAAAATACATATATGAGTAAAATATTATATGCAAATAAAAACCCCTTTCAAAATTTAGGTGTTGACGAGGTATTATTCAATACCACGGGGAAAAAACAGAGAATAAATAAATAAAATAAAAAGAGTATTATTCATTTTAAAATAAATGAGCCAAATAATAGCATACTAGTGTTCTTCAATCATAATACTACTTCTTCGGTGTAAGATTGATTTGGTACGTTTGCCAACTTATTTAGCTCAATATATACCATCTACCAATTGTACCTAGTGTTATTGGAATTTTTATACCGTTGTTATATTGAGAATTGCGGTAACAAAAACTTTCGATACAGTAAGATCGGTACATGGCATTTACCGTTTTACGCTTTATAGATGGACTTGAATGTTATTATACAAATGAAACATAAAAGGAAATGGGCTATTTATGTTCAAGAAGAAAGTTACTTGGCTAAGTTGAACAAAAATTCCTTGTTATTTAAAAATAACAAAATGGTCTTTTTTTTTATTTTGTATTAAAATCTTATGACATTTGCATGGTATTGAACAAGTTATTACGCGCTGCCCATTTTATTTTTGCACCAAGGGGTTACACTTGATTCATCAAACGAGCCTAAGACGAGGGGCACAATTAGGCCCAATAGTAGAGATCATTCTAGAAGATCTTCTAGAATCCTCCCTAATGTTAAAGATTCATAGAAGATCGTCATGTGTTTATATTTTGTAGGATATCGTAGGAGTTAATCTTGGCCATTAGATCAAGATGATCACCACCATCAATTGAGGATTTCGAGTTGTATAAATAGGAGTAGCTTCATTCATTTGTAATCAACCAACAACTCATTAATCAAAGAGCCAAAAAACTCGAGAACATTCTTTAGCACACTTACAATTATCAATTCTTAGTGATATTCATATACGCAATATATTTCTATTGATTTATCTTTTTAGAATGATACAATTATCAATTCTCAGTGATATTCAATATATATTTTCCAAGAAAAATAATTGAAAAAGATACAATTATGAATTCTTAGTGATATTCATATACGCAATATATTTTTCCAAGAAAATTATGTGCACAGTTGATTTATGAATTATCAATTCTTAGTGATATTCATATATGCAATATATTTTTCCACTAAAATTAATTGCACTATTGCAATATAATAACGCAATATAATAACATTAGAACAACTCCAACCCAAAATATCAAAATGAGATATCAAATATTATTTTTGATATTTGATATTTTATTTTGATGCTTATATAAATTATTTTGCTCCAACCATAGGTAATCAAAAAATTAATAATTAAATATAAACAAAATGATTATATATTTAATTGCCACATGTTATTTTCTAAGTGTTCATTTAAGTGGTTAAATTTATAACTTCCATTTTTAATTATTTCTCCGGGATGTACTTTTACATCCCAAGATGTGAATTATCAAAATACAAACCTTATTTGATAACTCCATTGGAGTGGATTTTTTTTTAATTTGGAATATCAAAATGGTAGTTAAGTGTTTTGATAACCCATTTAATTACTCCATTGGAGTTGCTCTTAAGTAGGATTCATATTTTCTTGATTAACTATTAATAAATAAGTGTTTATGGTACGCTATTACTATAGCTTTAAAAATATAACGCTAATGTACCACATGATCGTTACATGGTACTAATACCCTAAAGCTCTTCTCCGGCTAGTTTGATTCATTTGTCAAACTACTCCCATCAACAATGCAGGTCCGGCCCAAGTCCAACGCAAGCAAGGCCGCCATCTTGGGCCTCGAAAAAGTCAAAATATTTTAAGGCCTCTAATTTTGGTATATTTTTATATATAAACGCATATAATTTTTTTTTAAGACTTATATCTAACTCAGTTGGCAGAAGGATAATCATGATTATCGGAGTTCGCATGCCCAAGCTAAAAAGTCCCAAATTGATAAGAAAATAAAAAGGGATTTTAGCACAAAATTCCCCAATTCTCGATACAATTAATCATAATCAAAATTGAATTGGGGTATTAAAAAAAAAAGGAGCTATTTGATTAAAAACATAAAGTTATTAATCAAGGGGGTCTCACTCTCGATATTCGCCTCGGGCCTCCGGGACACTGGAACCGGCCCTACAACAATGTAATAAATTATGGGCTGCATTTAGATCATCTGTTTGGTTGTTATAGCTTCCCTCCTAGAAGAGCCAAACTGTTATGTCATTAATACCCAATGGCCAAGTTGTAAAACCATTTTTGCATCATCATACAACAATTTATTGTTATTTCTTTTTATTTGCTTGTGCATTCAGTTACATATACCGTAGGATGTTATCATTGTGTAAAAAAAATGTTCCATTGAACTTCATTTTGATGTAATCCCAATCTACAGTAGGAGATATAGATAAAACATAATGTGTGTGTGTGTGTATATATATATATATATATATATATATATATATATATATATATATGTGGCATCCGAGGGATAAAAATCGAACAGATTGAACTGAAACTAGCAATTTAAAAGAACGAAAAAAACCTTTCTTATCGGAAGTAGAAAATTAATTTCAATTTTGTTTCAAAAAAAATAGAAAAATTGAAATTTTAGAAATTGGAATGAAAAACTTCTTTTAAAAAGTTGGAATTTTTTGCATTGGAATCGACGAAAATCGGAAATTTCATATTCATATTAACTTATAATATAAAATATATAATAATATTGATATTCTAAATCTTCGAAAATTAAAATCTCATATATATGTATATTCTAATTTCGATCCAAAATATTTTGAAAAAATCAGAAATCAATTTTTCTAATTCGGAAGAAAAAACATTGTCCAAAAAAAAAAAACGTATCGTAATTGCAATATATCATAAGTGCATACAAATACATTTAAAAACTTAAATTAAATTATATAGTCAATAGTTTAAAGAATAATGGATGCACTCCTATATATATTCATTTATACTTGTAAATATAAGGGGCAATATGCTAAATACCCATGGGCGCTAATACTCTTTTAGATCAGGATCGAAATACCTTATTTTGCCCCCAACTCATTCGTCTTCAATACAACACCCCCTTCCAAAAATCGCATGTCTGACAATCCCTACTAGTCCTCTGCCGCTGAACGTCTAATTTTCGCTAACCACATCATTGGAAACATGTTATTTTCATTGGTTTTTGGTTTAAAATATTTATTTTCAGTTTAAATTATCCAACTAAGTTGTCCACTTTTATTCTAGATTGTCTATTTTCAGTCTAATATTTCTAACTAAGCTATCAACTTTTCGTCTAAACTGTCCAACTAAACTGTCTATTTACAGCCTAAGCTGTCCAACTACGCTGCTCGAGAAACTTATAGCTAATCCAAAATATACAGCCGACCTATTCGCAATACAAAATATTTTTGAATTTTTATCCATTTTCCCCAAAAACAAAGCACATACGTATTTTTACCACCATAAATACAAATGAAATCAATTGAGGCTCTAAGGTCGACCAATACATGACAAGAAAATCAAATATATAGAAACATATCTAATAAAACTTCAAAATATTTATCAAATTAATTAAAATATTAAAAATTATTACCTAAATTGCACTTGAAATATTTGAAATAGATGATGGTGAGATTCGAACACATTTATAACCTTTCATTTGGCTTGGTTCAGACATGACCACCATAATTCAGCAATTTTTTTTTGTTGCCCAAAGAACAACCTACCTAAACATTATTTGTTCTACGTTGTAATAGAATTTGAATTCATCCATAGAACAATGAACAATAATTCAACAAATGAAAACAAAATAAGGAAACATAAATCAGAGTTCAAATCCATTTCCATCGTATGCACATTAGATTTCATAGCCGGTAAAATTATAAAAGTTAACCGACTTCCTTCTCATGGATTTATATATTTTCGGTCTAATAAATACTACACCACGTGAATTATTAAATGCTACGCCATGTGAATTACACGAGATATAACATAAATCTCTGAATGTTATACATACAATCAATAGTAGTGATTGATATAATCTAAAATCGAAGTAGGAAATCAGAGTTCAATTGCCCATCATCACCCATACTTATGATTACTTGTGTTTTTTGACTACCAATTTACCCCTATAAATACAGTAGAGGACCACCACTCAAATACACAAACAAAATACATCTGAGAATTAAATATACAATCAATTATTCCAAAAATGGGGGGAAAGAGTTTGGCTATTTGCTTTGTTTTCGCAGCCATTTTCATGGCATATCACGGCGAGGCTGAGGTGGCGCGTGAAGATTTTATCGGGACAAGGGGCAGCCAATTTGTTATGAATGGGAGGTCATTTTATTTTAATGGCTTCAACTCTTATTGGTTGATGTATATGGCTTCTGACCCATCGACTAAGGTAAAGGTGACAGACACCTTCGCTCAGGCATCAGAGTATGGAATGAATTTGGCGCGAACTTGGGCTTTTAGTGATGGTGGCTATAGAGCCCTTCAAACCTCTCCTGGATTATATAATGAAGATATGTTCAAGGTACACAATAGAGTCGATTTAGATATTTGATGGCCCTAAACTATTATGCATTATTTAATTTTGTTCGTCTATGATGCATTTTCTTTTTACAAACACGTTATATAAACTATGAAAAAACTTATTGATCTATTACAATAGAGATATAATTTCAAAACATATTAAGCATTGCAGCAAAATATTTTAGAATTTGTGCGAAATAAGGTTTTTTCTAAGATTCAACAAGATTCTTTTCTATTTAAATCCTAAAAATGATTAAATTGGTTGTATGATTTTGAGTAATATCTATAATGTCCTCAACATACATTCATTTTGAAGTTAGATAAATAAGATTTTTTGTTACAAATTCTATTGAAACATGTGTTGGATTGCATCGATTACACATAATGGTTGCATTAAAATTTTATAGCTAATTGTATTGTGGTCTTTTTCAGGGTCTAGATTTCGTTGTGTCTGAAGCCAAGAAACATGGAATTTATTTGTTATTGACTCTCGTCAACAATTGGGAAGGTTTTGGAGGGAAAAGACAATATGTACAATGGGCTAAGGATCAAGGTCATTACTTGAACAATGATGATGACTTCTTCACTAATCCTATTGTCAAACAATACTATAAAAATCACGTTAAGGTATGTCCAACTTATATTTTTGATATACATAAGTATCATTATGATGGAAATTTATCGGTTTTATTCGAATCTAATATGTTGAAAAGCTCATTCTTTATAAGCCCCTTAATTTCATAATTGAATTTTGAGTGTAGGCTGTACTAACAAGAATCAACTCAATAACTGGAGTGGCGTACAAAGATGACCCTACCATATTTGCATGGGAGCTCATCAATGAACCTCGTTGCCAGTCTGACCTCTCCGGAAAAGCTATTCAAGTATATCTCTATCACACACACACACACACACACATATATATATATATATATATATATATATATATATATATATATATATATATATATATATACAATAATGAATCAACTAATTTCTTTATCAATCACTAGGATTGGGTTGCAGAAATGTCAGCTTATGTAAAATCAATTGACGCGAAACATCTAGTGGAAGTTGGCATGGAAGGATTTTATGGTGAATCGATGCCCGAAAAGAAACAAAATAATCCTGGTTATGAAGTTGGAACTGATTTCATCGCCAACAATCTTGTCCCTCATGTTGACTTCACAACAATTCATCTATACCCCGATCAATGGTATATATTATTTATTCGCACACAAAACATATATTTATATGTACATACACACACACACAAGAATACACATAGTTTATTAACAATTTCATTGGTATTTATCATTTTCCTTGAATTTGCAGGGTTCCTGGTTCAAACGACGAGGTACAAGCTGAATTTGTCCACAAGTGGATCCAAACACACATAGAGGACTCCAAATTGGTGATTGGAAAGCCAATAATGGTGACTGAGTTCGGCAAATCTTCAAGATCATCGGGTTACAATGTGCAAGCAAGGGATAACTACTTCAGCAGCATATTCGACAGTGTTTATAAATGTGCAAGAACCGGTGGTCCGTGTGGAGGTGCACTATTTTGGCAAGTGATGGCTCAAGGAATGGGAGATTGGAGTGATGGTTATGACGTTGTCTTGGAACAAAGCCCTTCTACTGTTGGTGTCATCTCTCAGCAGTCCCGTGAAATATCTTCACTTAATCAAATTAATTTTGCTACCTCAATATGATTGGCCTCATTTTACAACTCAACTCAATGTAATGGCTTTATATTCGCAGAAATAAAAAACCCTTGTTATTACATTTGAATCTTTCAAATGAATAATTTATTAATAGTGGTATTGATGTTGAATTTTTTGAATAGCATACTCTCATAATGTACCTTTCTTCAATATATCTTATAGGGATTTTTATGCAAAAGTCCCCAACCAAGCATGTTTATTATTCTAGGTTTAGGGGACATATCTCTTTTACCAATAAGCCCATCCCTTTAATATTTATTATAACTAAAGGAAACATTCATGTATATCCCAATATTACCCTCAACCATTTATACCCAATTCTTAATTGTAATCCAAATTAATCAATTTTGTCCATAAAAGTTCAATTTTGACCACAAAAATTCAATTTTGACTTTTTTTTGGAGTATAATTTAATATGCTCCAATTTCATCCTTAACTTAATTTAATCTCAATTTGACCCCAAATTTCACAAATTATTAAATTTTGACCCAAAAATTTTTTTTTTTCAAAAAATATTTTTTTTTTCAAAAACTTTTTTTTTGCCGCCGGATTCCGGCGTTGACTTTTTTAAATTTTTTTTTTTTTTTTTTTTTTTCTTTCTTCCGGATTTTTTCGCCGGTTTCCAGCGTTGACCGGCGGTCAACGCCGGTCTCCGGCGTTGACTTTTTTTTTTTTTTTTTTTTTTTTTTGCTTTTTTCTTTTTTTTTTTCTTTTCTTTTCTTCCGGATTTTTTCGCCGGTTTCCGGCGGTCTCTTTTTTTAGTGTTTTTTTAAGTTTTTTGTTTTGCTTTGTTTGGTTTGTTTTGTTTTTCCACGTCCGCCGCTAAACGTTGACCGTAATTGTGCTGTCACTGACAGTAAATTAACGTAATTATACTGTCAATGATAGTTAATTAACGTAATTGTACTGCCGTTGACATTACATTTATGTAATTGTGTTGCCGTTGACAGTAAATTAATGCAATATTATATTTTTTTATTTATTATTATTTTTTTTAATTTTTTTTTATTTGTTGACAAGTCAACGTAATTATATTACTGTCGTTGACAGTAAAATAACTGTAAACACAATAATATTACTGTCAACAACATCAATATTATTATTTTTTTGTGGTGTTTGTATTAATATTACTGTCTATTATTGTAATATTACTGTAAACACAATAATATTACTGTGGTTGACGGTAATATTACTGTTTGTTATAGTAATATTCCTGTCAACCACATCAATATTATTCTTTTGTTTGGATATTTTGTTTGTTTGAGTTATTCACGGAGTAACGTAATAATATTACTGTCTACTATTGTAATATTACTGTTGCTATAGTAATATTACTGTTGCTATAGTAATATTACTGTCACTCACAGTAATATTAATTCTTTTGGTTTTTTTTATTTTGTTTACATTTGTTGAACGGACAACATAGTAATATTACTTTATTATACAATAATAATGAATTTTGTTGTGTTAATATTAATGTGCTAGAGATTAATATAGCAATATCACTGTGTTAAACTATAGTTTAGTTATTTTTACTGTGTTTAACAGTAATATAGTTAATATTACTGTCATTCAAAGCAATATTGTTGTTTAAACGGAAAAAAAAGTTACAGAAAAAAAAATTAAAAAAAAAATAAAATAAAAAAAATAAAAAAAAGTCAACGCCGGAGACCGGTGTTTACCGCCGGTCAACGCCGGAATCCGGAAAAAAAAAAAAAAAAAAAAAATAAAAAAATAAAAAAATAAAAGTCAACGCCGGAATCCGGAAAAAAAAAAATCCGGAAGAAAAAAAAAAAAAAAAAAAAAAAAAAAAAATTGAAAGTCAACGCCGGAGACCGGCGTTGACCGCCGGTCAACGCCGGAATCCGGAAAAAAAAAATCCGGAAGAAAAAAAGAAAAAAAAAAAAAAAAAAAAAAAGTCAACGCCGGAGACCGGCGTTGACCGCCGTTCAACGCCGGAATCCGGCGGAAAAAAAAAGTTTTTGAAAAAAAAAATTTTGTGAAAAAAAAAAAGTTTTGGGTCAAAATTGAATAATTTGTGAAATTTGGGGTCAAATTGAAGTTAAATTAAGTTAAGGATGAAATTGGAGCATATAAAAGTAAGAGGGGTTATTTTAGTCCTTTACATAAATCTGGACCATGTGTGGACTTATTGGTAAAGGAGAATATTGTCTGGATCTCTTTATGAATAAGTTCCCACTGATGGGCTTATTTGTAATATGCCCTATCTTATATCCCATTAAAAATTAATGAAACGCCAAAGGTTGAGAAAATTATTTCGTGTTCTTTCATCCAGACTATTTTTGTCAAATCACATAGAAATTAAAGCCCTGGTAGTTGTGAAAATTAGAAGTCATATTTAGTATTTGGGTTAATAGCATTTTGCCACCTATACTTTGCCTGTTTTTGCGCTTTGCCATCTTAACTAAAAAAAGTTGCACGGGCACACCCAAACTCCTTTTTTGACGCACATAACCACCTAGGGGGAATATTCCGGCGAATCTTGAAAGATTCCGGCACACGTGCTATGCACATGACCAAATACATTGATGTTTTTGTCTTTTAATCTGAAGATATCATGTGGGATAAAACTGAAAGTTTAAGGACTCAATTGAACTTCATTTAAAACTTGCCCGAATTCTAAATTAATTGAAATAGAGTTATGGGTCTTCTTCTTCCATGGGAGTGGGTCTTCTTCTATGGGAGTTTCTCCCCATTAATATTTTTTCAAAGAAACCCTTTCCAATGCTTCGAATGCTCCACTATGCAGGCAATTTTCTCTCTTTCTTTCTAATTCTCAATGTGTTTTTGTGGTTTACAGTAAATGTTGAAATTAATTGCGTTGTAGATATGTGTTTGTGTGAAAAATTCAACTATGAAAACAAAGGTGGGATACAGTGCAGATGAAATAGTAGAAGAAGAGCAGCAACATGTGAAGTCGCGTGGTGTGCAACTAGGAGGAATTTGTGAGGAAGATTTTTGCCCAATCATCCATGGCCAGAGTAAACCTATGGGCTCAATATGGAACTTTCGTTTTTGGAACTCAATATGACAATCAGGAGGAACATCGAGGAAAGTTCCAAATTGAGGACAAAGATCGCCTCACAAGATTTTTGATTAAATTGATGAGAGAAGATAACCCCTTATTTTTTTTAAAGCTTGGATTTTTTTCAAAAGTTGATGTTAGTTCAAAGAACAGATTAATGGGGATAGACTTCCATTGAAGAAGAAGAATGAGAGTTTAATATATTTCAGTTTCACCCCTTGGAACTTTCAATCTTTCAATTTCATCCTTTCGAACTTTTAATCCCACATGATATCTTTAGATTAAAAGACTAAAAAGTCCTCACATTAAGCATGTGCATCGCACGTGCGCCGGAAAAATGAGAAGATTCCCCAGAATATTCCTCTTAGGTGGTTATGTGTGTCAAAAAAAGGAGTTTGGGTGTGCCCGTGCAACTTTTTTTAGTTAAGGTGGCAAAGCGCAAAAACGGGTAAAGTACAGGTGGCAAAATGCTATTAACCCTTAGTATTTAGCACATGTTCTATTGAATTCTATTTAGCATGTCTTCAATTGAATTCTGGCAAAATCAAAAAAAAAAAAAAGAAAATAATAGAATGTAACTCAAATCAGAGAACAGAAAAATCGACCAATAATGGGTGAAAACAAAACAAAAAAATTAGAAATAATGGGTCAATTTGTTGCATTTAATAGTTTATGGGCATAAATGCGATACTGGCAATAGTACAGGGGTGCGAACTATATTTAGCACTTTTAAAGGAAAAAGTTTTTCCTTAATTACAATTTTTGCCACTTATAGTTTCACTAATTCACATTTGGTCCCCATATTAAAAATGATTGAGGGACCAAAAGTTTTTTTTCTAGAACAAGAGGGACCAAATATATGTTAGTTGTAAATATGACGGATCAAAAATATGGTTTCCCATCATTTCTAGCCCAGATTATGTTAACTACTAACACCCGAGATAGTTACAGTTTTGGTCCCCTAAGTATGCATGTTTTTCACTTTCGGTCCCCCATGTACTGCCGTCAACAAAATACACACTAATGTTGTCACATTTTAATACATTGAGTCCCTCCGTCTGTTTGACCGTCAAGAAGTAACGGTCAACGGTTGAATTTGGGGTTTTTCTTTGAGAAATTTGCAATAAGACCCTTGTATTCTTTCAAAATATTCTAAAAACCCCTAAAATTTTATCCAACTATAATTTAACCCCAATTTCATCGATCACCGATGACCCCGTTTTTCAAATCGGTTAATCCGACTTTAACTTTCTCTTTAATTCGGTTAACACTTTTTTCGATTGATTTTTTGTTGACTGATGTTGACATTCGCGTTAAGTGCGTTGACTTTTTTTTTCTTGATTTTTATTTTATTTTTATTTAATATGTTGAGTACTGGGATAAAAATAATTTAAAAAAAAAAGTCAAGTTGATAACCAGCGAGAAAAATAATATCATAAAAAATTCAAAATAAAAGAAAAAAAGGAAATAGACAACGCAGCTCAACGACGGAAAAATTATAAGACAAAAAAAGATAAAAATTAACAGATGGTGTTAGCCCCAAAAATCGTTGTACTAGAGTGGTTATCTCATTTCCAAATTACTCCACACATGCCTAATTCATCTTTTTCATATTTTATGGGGGAAAAATTTGGGATGCACTGACGGTTCCATGAAGAAAATTTTGAGAGTAAGAAATTATGGATTTTTAGAATTTTTCAAATTGTATTTTGGCCCCAAAATTTTAGATAAACTTTGTTAGAAGTTTGTAGTTTTAATATTACGATATTAAATATTAATATAGTATTATTATTGTGTTATACAGTAATAATATTGTGTTGATCGGAAAAAAAGTCACAGGAAAAAGTTAAAAATAATATTCAAGAAAAATAAAAAAGTCAACATTGTTAACCGACAATCCAATGTCAGTGAACAGCGTCAAAAAACTATTTAAAAACAATCAATGCCGAAAAAAAAGTTTAAAAAAAATTAATGGCTGTCAACGATCAGCGGTAATGGTAGTAAAAATCGAGGTCGTTTGTCAAAATTGATTAAGTGATGAAATTGTGGTTAAATTAAGGTTGAATAAAATTTTAGGGGTTTTTAGAATATTTTAAAAGAATGCAGGGGTCTGAGTGCAATTTTCTCAATGAAAAATCCCAAATTCAGCCATAATTCAACAGTTGGCCATTACTCTTTGACGGTCAAACAGACAGAGGGACCCAATGTGTTAAAATGTGACAACATTAGTGTGTTGTTGACGGCGATAAATGGGGGACCAAAAGTGAAAAGGTGCAAATTTGTTGGACAAAAACTGTAATTATCTCACCAACAACCCAGTAACATAGGGGACCAAATGTGATAAATCGATGGACCAAAATTGGATTTTTTTTGGAAATATATATTTTAAAGTATTTATTGTATGATTTTGTAGATGTTGCACCCCGTGAAATACATCAGATGATTTGTAATCATTGATCTACACATAATAATATGCACACCCATGTGTACAGTGAAAAGTCAGTGCAGGATCAGGGGTGGTCATGCCCCAACCCCCAAATTTAATTTTTTTTAGGGTAAATAGCATTAAACCACCTAAACTTTTTAAGTTTTTGCGGATCACCACCTGAACAATTTTTTTTTGCAAGACTTCATCTCAACTTAGTTAATTGTGCCACTTTGCCCTTTTTTGCCCGTTTGCAGGTCAAAATGACCGGTTCTCATCCCACATGCGTTGCACATGCTAAACTCAAGGTTAATGTTGTCTTTTCCAGTCCAAAAAATATTGGGCCCTAATAGCCGTTGACATTCACACATCCCCAATTCATCCGCCCCTTTTCTCATTTTCTAGGGTTTAGGATTCATCTCCAATTTCGCGATAATCTGAAGATCTTCACACTCTATCATGACTTGGAAAGTGAGAGAGGGTAACGACGCTGCAGATTTTACAAAAAATGCTCCAGATTACGGTATGTTCTGCGTTTTAATGTATTAATTTATTCTTTGATTTTAAAAACATTTGTTCGATGTAGTTTATCAAATGCGGTGGCAGTTGGTTGATTTTTTAATGCAGTGGCAGTTGTTATTTTATGAATTGTTGTATTCTATAGTATTTAGAGTGGCAGGACCACACTTGTGTTTTTTTTTATAATTTTTTTTTTGGCTGTTACCTCTTTGTCTAGATATTTAGAGTGTAAAACAGGACCACTTTTCTGTCTGTACATGTTTTGTGTCCTATTTTTTATGTTTTGTCATTGTTATATTACAATTTTTTTTTCTGAAAATGTATTTTATATGCTTTGGCAGGCCCAAACAGTGATAATTTCACAATAATGATGCTTCATTATGGAAAAATTATGGATTTGGGTGGGACCTGCTATGTTGGTGGAAATATAACTTACTTTGACCATTGTTGTGTGGATGAAATGTCAATGACTGAGATAACTGAAATGGCTAGGGAGATACATTTGGATGATTGGGATGATTTCTTTCATGATAGAAGTTGCCTGCATGATTGTAGTGTTATGCATTTAATGCAAAATGACAATGATGCTTTAGAGTTGGTGAATTATCTTGATGATCAAAGGGTTGCAGCAATTTGTGTAAAGCATTATGAACAAGCAGAGCAATCTGATCAAAGTGCGGGGGAATTTGAATATGAAGATGATTTTCCAGAAGTAGATGAAGCAATTGGGTATGTTGGTGATGTTGATGAACCTGTTGGTGATATTGATGAACCAGTGGATGGTTTTGATGAAGCACACTTTGATGATGATGGTAGAACAATGGATGAATTATTAGAGGATGTGATTGATTGTAATGACAGTGGGGGTAGTGATGGGCAATCAGTAGGGGATGATTCAGAGCATTCAGATTTTCTGGTTGATAGTGAATTTTTTGAGTCAGATGATGACTTTCAGTATGATGAAAATATTGATTGTGGGGTAGAATGGGGTGGACTTGGGCCAGACAGTGAGAGTGAAGAACCTAGAAGGTCTAAGAGGTTCAATACAGGGGTAGAGACTCAGGTTGTGGATATCCCCAAGAAAGATCAGTTCATGCACCACAACTACCCAGTGTTCAATTCAAACATAGACATGGAGAATCCACAGTTTCAGCTTGGCCTTTGCTTCCCTGATGCAGCTTCTTTTAGGGAAGCTGTAAGGCAGCATGGAAGAGTGAATGGCAGGGATATAAAACTGAAGTTGAATGAGAAATATAAGGTTCAAGCAATCTGCAAGCATGAAACTTGTCCTTGGTTTGTTTATGCTTCTCAAATGAGAAGTGAATCAACCTTTCAAATCAAGACAATCAATGCAATTCATGAATGTCCAAGAAAAGAAAGGGTTGGTTGTGCAAATTCTAGGTGGTTGGCCTCTAAATATGCAGATAAAATCAGAACTGATCCAAATTGGCCAGTAGACTCAATGATGGCTGTTGCACAGAAGGAATGTAAGCTGCTATTCAGCACACACCAAATGTATAGGGCAAAGAAAAAAGCTGTGGAGTTGAATACAGGGTCTAGTGCTGAGCAGTTTGGCATGTTGTGGAGATATGCTGAGGAGATAAAGAAATGCAGTCCTAAAACCACAATCAGAATCAAGGGGAAGGGTGATGGAGATCAGATGAAATTCAAAAGAATATATATCTGTTGGGATGCTCTGAGAGAAGGGTTCCTAGATGGCTGTAGAAAGATCATTTTCCTTGATGGATGTCATTTAAAGTCCACATATGGGGGGATATTGTTGTGTGCAGTGGGCATAGATGCAAATAATGGGATGTTTCCATTTGCTTATGCTGTTGTTGAAAAAGAAAAGAGAGATACTTGGTTGTGGTTTATGAAGCTCTTGAAAGAGGACCTGCAAATTGAGAATTGTGGTGAGTGGACAATAATGAGTGACAAGCAAAAAGGTCTTATAGATGCAATAGAGGAACTGATGCCTAACAGTGAACACAGGTTCTGTGTAATGCATCTGTACAGCAATTTTAAGCTATCACACAGGGGTTTAGCATTAAAGAACATTTTATGGCAAGCTGCTAGAGCTACAAGGGTTGTGGACTTCAACAGAATCATGAGAGATTTGAGTGGGAAGGATAAAGCTGCCTTCCAGTGGCTTGCAAAAAGACCAGCTGCACATTGGTCTAGATGTTTTTTTAGAACAAATTCAAAGTGTGATACACTCTTGAATAACATGTGTGAAAGTTTCAATTCAATGATTTTGAGGCCTAGAAGTATGGGAATCATTGATATGCTTGAGGCAGTCATAAAGATCTTGATGAAGAGGATACATGTGAAGAGAGATAAAATGGAGAAGTTCAATGGAAACATATGTCCAAATATTCAGAAGCAAATAGAAGAGTGGAAGAAGAAGTCAATGGAGTTCATTGCTCATTGGAATGGTCAGGCTCAATTTGAAATAGAGAACTGTTATGGTGACAGATTTAAAGTTAACTTGGAAGAAAAAACTTGCAGCTGCAAGAGGTGGCAACTATCTGGAATTCCATGTGCACATGCCATTTCAGGCCTTTATTACATGGGAAAGCAACCTGAAGACTATGTTGAACAATGCTACTCAAAAGAAACATATATGAGAGTGTACAGTCACCTAATGGACACACTTGAGGGACCTGACAATTGGCCAATATCTGCAAAACCTCCATTGCTTCCCCCAGAAATTGAGAAAATGACAGGTAGGCCAAAGCTTCACAAAAGAAGAAAACAGCCAGGAGAAACCAGTGGCTCAAAAGATATACCAGCTCCAGTTGCCAAAACCATAACCACAGTTGGAAAATTGGGAAGGCAGGGTGTTTTAATGACTTGTAGCTTATGTAAACAGAAAAAACATAATGCTAAAGGCTGCCCTCTGAACAAGGTAAACTGTATTCATATCATAAACTATATTTATTTTGTAAATATGTCTTGTATTTATGGTTTACCTAACTAACAACATTCATGGTTTATTAACTTATAGGGAAAACAAAGTCAAACTCCACAGTCTACACAAGCTACAGAAGCTAATATCACACAGTTAGACAGTCAAGCTCCACAGTCTACACAAGCTACAGAAGCTACAATCACACAGCTGGAAAGTCAAGTTACTGGAATTGAAATGGCCTCAGAGAAAAATGACAAAAGAAAGGTAGTTTAGTTTAGTGTGTACTCATTTATTTCTTATAATTCATGTGTGTAATGGTATTTGTTTGGTTATGTAGAGAACTCAAGCAGCTGTGAAGAATGCAACTGCAAGGAACAAATTACCAACAACAAGAAAAGCAAAAGAAAAGATTATGCAAGAAAATGTAAGTTATATTTTGGTTTTCTAAAAGTATTGTGTTAGATGATTAATCATCTAACATGTGATATAATTTCAGGAACCAACAAGAAAAGAAAAGGGTAAAGGAAAGGAACCAATGATGTCTGTTATTACAAAGGCAAGAAACCAACAAATTGATGGTTCATCTCCATCACAGAATTTGAGGCCAAGAAATAAAAAAGGTCTTGTGACAAGAAGCCAACAAGCTCATGTGGCAAGAAACCAACAGTCACAACCAAAGTCTGTGAGGAGAAGATTAATTGATGAGGATGATTAGGGGTGCAAAAATACAGTGACTTTTGTTGTTTTTGTGAACTTTTTATCATATTGCATATTTTCTATCATTTCATTTTGCTAGCTGGATTGATTACTTTTGAACATGTTCTTAATTTTGCTGTTTGATGAATTTTTGGCTATTTTGTAAGCTTGGTGGATTATTTCCATGCTAGATTGGTAACTTTTGAGAGCTGACTGGATATTGTTATTTTGTGCACTCGTGTCTTATGTTATGTGCAATGAATGATCAACAGTTCTTTGATTGTATTGGTTGACACATCTTTTACAATTTGATTAATAGTTCTAAATATTGATCAACACACAAATATTGACAGTTCCAAATATTGATCATTTCACAGATCATAAAAATTCAGTACATATATTCATTACACATAAAAATTCTGCAACTTACATAGGCCAAGTAATTATATTTTTCCACTTAAAAAAACCACAATAATCCTACTACAATTTCAAAAATCTAGATAAGAATATAGACCAACAACAGGGCAACTACCAAGGCCATCCACAACCACTTTTCCCTTGACCCTTTTTTGCTCAACTGTTCTTCAATCTTCTTTAACTCCTTTTCATTGTTGTTAATTCTTCGAAGTAAGCCAGGAATTATCTGACGAGATCTTTCGCACATTGGGGGATCAACCCAAGCGAAGTAATTGCAACCTCCAATTTCTTGATAACATATAATCGTTCATAAAAAAATGAAACTTACAGATCAATTCAAATATGCTATTTCAAATTTTTTTCTTACCCTATATTTTTGACATGTTTCGTATCTCCTTCCTGGGTTTAATTCAGTCCAGGACGTCTTCATTGTTGTCCTCCTTGAACAGTAGCACGACATTTTTAAGAACAACAAGAAAAAAATGTGAAGAGAAAAATGGAGGGAATGGGAGAATGAGAGATGAGTTGCATTGAAAATAAATGAGAAGAAAGAGAAAAATGGAGGGAAAATAATGGACATAAGAGAGAAATGGAGGGAAAACAATGGACATAAGAGAGAAATGGAGGGAAAATTGAAGGAAATGGGGCTTTAGGACTGGAAAAGACAACATTAACCTTGAGTGTAGCATGTGCAACGCATGTGAGATGAGAACCGGTCATTTTGACATGCAAACGGGCAAAAAAGGGCAAAGTGGCACAATTAACTAAGTTGAGATGAAGTCTTGCAAAAAAATTTTGTTCAGGTGGTGATCCGCAAAAACTGAAAAAGTTCAGGTGGTTTAATGCTATTTACCCTTTTTTTTATTATTATATATGTATATATAATTTATTGCATTTGCATTGTGTTCCTATAATAATTTATGATTTTACATAAAAATAAAATAAAATATTTTTCATTGAAAAGGAAAAAGGAAAATAATAAATGTGTCTAACACATAAGATAAGGAAGTTACGGATTGTGACTTGGAACCAGAGGCGAGTCCATCCTTAGGCAAGGATGGAAAGTCGACCCTCAATTGAAACAATTTACACTATATTACACATATATATTTGTTAAGTTCATCCAATTTTTATTATTGTCCACTCAAAATTCAAACTAATGTAAAAAAAAAAATTCATAAGTTTCTCTTTTTCTATCTTTTGGTTTTGTCAATAAAAATAAAAATAAATGAAGTCCTAAATTTTTTTCGAGGCCACAGCCCCCGAATCCCCGGTAATTTAAATTAATCTTGTAACAATATCCTAGTTTCGCCATTCTCGAAACAACCGTTGGTCATTAATTTCTCTAAGTTATTTTTATTCGGCCTCCCGATTGATGAAATCCTGGCTTCAGCACTAAATATATGCGCTTGGTGAATAGTTATTTATATAGATCTATTATGTAAAATCACTAGGTGTATTTTACCGGGTATAGCATCTTATAAACCAGTAATGCCTAAATAAAATATGGGCTACATTTAGCATTTTAGTAATACGTGTATCAATTGTCCTAGGTTTGCAATTATGGTTAACTGTTTGGTTGTTATTGCTTCCCTCCTATGGCCCATGTTGTAAAACCATTTTTACATCATCAAACAACAATTTATTGTTATTTCTTTTTATTTTCTTGTGCTCCTTCATTAAAGGGTTTGTACGTTCAGTTACACTGATCCTAGGATGTTATATCATTGCATAAAATCTTACTTCTTTGAACTAATATAATCCCAATCTACAATATGATTGGGGGGAATATAGCAATTTCAAATTTAAAAAAAATAATTTCAATTCCGTTTCAAAAAACGAAAAAATACAAAATTTGAAATTCTGAAAATTGGAATGAAATACTTAAGTGTTGGGAAATTAAAATCGGAGTACAAATCGAAATATCATACGCATTCGAATTTCAATCCAAAATATTTTGGAAAAATCACAAATCAAACTTCAAATCCATTTCCATTTCCATAACTTGACTCCCTTCTCATGTATTTAAATTTATATTTTCTATCTAATAAATGCTACACCACACGAATTATTAAATGCTACGCCATGTGAATAATACGAGATATAACATAAATCTCTAAGTGATATATACAATAATTAGTGATTGATATAATCTAAATTCAAAGTAGGAAAGCAGTTTTGTACTATGAACTATCAAAAGCAATAACCCATCCCCCATACTTATGATTGCTTGTGATTCTTGACTATCAATTTGCCCCTATAAGTACATTAGAGGACTATAACACAAATACACAAACAAGATACATTTGAGAATTAAATATACAATCAATTGTTCCAAAAATGTTGGGAAAGAGTGTGGGTATTTTTTTTGTTTTTGTAGCCCTTTTGATGGCTTATCACGGCGAGGCTGAGGGGGCGCGTGATAATTTTATTGGAACAAGGGGCAGCCAGTTTGTGATGAATGGGAGGCCATTTTATTTTAATGGCTTTAATTCTTATTGGTTGATGTACATGGCTTCTGACCCGTCGACTAGAGATAAGGTGACAGACACTTTCGCACAAGCTTCCAAGTATGGAATGAATTTGGCGAGAACTTGGGCTTTTAGCGATGGTGGTTATAGAGCGCTTCAAACCTCTCCTGGAGTCTATAATGATGATATGTTTAAGGTACGCAGTAGGCTAATTAAAATATTTGATGGCCTTAAATTAAATTTTAGAAAATTATTGTAGTCTCCTTCTGCGTTATTTAAATTTTGTTCGTCTATGATGTATTTTCTTTTTACAAACGCCTTCAACGAACTAATATAAAAGCTTATTGTTCTATTACAATAAGGATACAATTTCAAGAGATCATATCAAGTATTGTAGAAAAATACTTTAGAATTTAGGCTAAATTAGATTTTTCTAAGGTTCATTAAGATTGTTTTCTACTCAGACTCAAAAAATGATTAAATTGGTAGTATGATTTTGGAGTTATTGGAATGTAAATAAAATTTTCTTTTGCAAATTCTATTAAAACATGTGTTGGATTCATCAATTACACGTAATGGTTGCATTAAATGTAATAACTAAGTGTGCATTGTCTTCTTTTTCAGGGTCTAGATTTTGTTGTGTCTGAAGCTAAGAAACATGGAATCTATTTATTATTGAGCCTCGTCAATAATTGGGAAGGTTTTGGAGGGAAAAGACAATATGTACAATGGGCTAAGGATAAAGGGCATTACTTAAACAACGATGATGACTTCTTCACTAACCCTATTGTCAAAGACTACTATAAAAATCACGTCAAGGTACGTAGGGCTTATAGTTTAACGTTTTATGAATTCACATAAATTATAAAATATAATCATCAAAAATTAAAAAAAATTAGTTACCACATAAATTATTAAGTTAAAATTTTCATTTTTATCTAAAGCAAATATATTGAAAACATTATTCAATTTAAGTCCCTTAATTTCATAATTGATCTTTGAGTCTAGGCTGTACTAACAAGAATCAACTCCATAACTGGAGTGGCGTACAAAGATGACCCTACCATATTTGCATGGGAGCTCATTAATGAACCTCGTTGCCAATCTGACCTCTCCGGAAAAGATATTCAAGTCTCTATCTCTCTCCATTCTCTCTCCCCCTCTCTCTCTCTCCATACAGTGAATTTACTAATTTATTTATCACTCTTAGGACTGGGTTGAAGAAATGTCAGCTTACGTAAAAACAATTGACACGAAACATCTAGTGGAAGTTGGCATGGAAGGATTTTATGGAGAGTCGATGCCCGAAAAGAAACAAAATAATCCTGGTTATGAAGTTGGAACTGATTTCATCGCCAACAATCTTATCCTTCATGTTGACTTCACAACAATCCATCTATACCCCGATCAATGGTATATTCATTATGCACACACAAAACATACATTTATATGTACATATACATACACAAGCACACATACTTCATCAACAATTTCATTGATATTTATGATTTGCCTTGAATATGTAGGGTTCCTGGTTCAAACGATGAGGTACAAGCTGAATTTGTGCACAAGTGGATCCAAACACACATAGACGACTCCAAATCGGTGATTGGAAAGCCAATAATGGTGACTGAGTTTGGTAAATCTTCAAGATCACCAGGTTACAATGTGGAAGCAAGGGATAACTACTTTAGCAGCATATTCGACAGTGTTTATAGATGTGCAAGAACCGGTGGTCCATGTGGAGGTGCATTATTTTGGCAAGTGATGGCTCAAGGAATGGCAGACTGGAGTGATGGCTATGAAGTTGTCTTGGAACAAAGCCCTTCTACTGTCGGTGTCATCTCGCAGCAGTCTCGTGAAATAGCATCTCTTAATCAAATTAAATTTGCTACATTAGCTGATTATTAGTTGGTTATCATTGTTTGGCTCATAATAAATATAATCGGCCTCATTTGACAACTCAATTCAATGTATGCATTATATTTGCATAAATAAAATCCAATGTTATATTATATATATTAGCATAATTTGATATCATATTTTTGTTGAATATGTTCTATATTCCATTACAAAATTAATGAAATGCCAAAGGCCGTTGGGAAAATTATTTCACGTTCATCCAATTCATATAGAAAGCTTTTATAGTTGAATAATTACATTTCCCATGGGAATTAAACCATTTTTATTTTGACAGAATAATCATATGAAAAAGTTAGATAAAATTCAGGACTCACCATGCAAAGAGTACAAAGGTGCATTATTAAGTGTATTTCCGCGAAAATATGAGCTGATGATTGTGAGTTAAATTTGAAATAATTGTGTATTTGTAGAGGACAATTGTGAAGAAGCCCAAAAGGAACATTCAACCTTTATGATATGAAAATAAATCCACACCTCCAACACTTCTTGTTACTAAGAAAAACCTATCAGACATAGCAAAATCACTCATAACCCGTTTAAGCACCACCAATTTATGATTTAAACCATAATTTAACTCAAATTTTATCAATTTAGATCTCTTAACCTAATTTTAATCTCGAATGTCGAGTTAAAAAGTCAACTCAAATGGCCTACAGTTACAATATTCTGAATTATTCAAGATTTAGATTGTAAAAGGGTCAAACTCAAGTTTGAAGTCAATTGAGTATGCATGTCGCGAAACTTGTAGCGCGGCATATGCATTTTTCGAGAGGGCTAATTACCCATGAAGTAATTCACACATTCCTAAAGCGCGATACGGCCTTTGGAAGCCTCAAACCACAAGAAAACTTATTGGGACTCGATAAAAAAAAAAAATTGCACTTTTGGAGGCTCGGAGAAGGAGAAAACACGAAAGAACATCAATGGCCATCATCCACACCTTGAGAGTTATGCAAGAAGGGGCCAAATCTTCTATTCCAAATTACTCATGAATTTTGTTTAACCTTTAGGGTTAAATACAAATTGCACCATTGTAGTATCACCAGTGTTGCATATACCCGCTAGGGGTTGTGTACAAATCATTTTATACACAACATATATGGGTATTTTTGTTTGAATTGTCTAACATCTAGTGCTGGATCAGCTTTG